GAGAGGACAAAGTAAAGGTTATAAGGAGTTATCATACTAAATATGACCCCTAATAGTTGCCAGTGATCCCTGAGTAAAGGGTATGTATAAACATTATATAAGTGACTTCTAGCGACAATCAGTGTGGACAGGATAAGGGTTATAAGGAGTTATCATACTAAATATGACCCCTAATAGTCGCCAGTGTTCCCTGAGTAAAGGGTATGTATAAACATTATATAAGTGACTTCTAGCGACCATCAGTGTGGACAGGATAAGGGTTATAAGGAAACGACCTCTAGCAACTGTCGGCATTCCTTCAATAGGTAGCTAGAAGCTTACTTAGAACTGAATATTATTTTAACAACTTTTTGGATATTACAGAAATATAACAACAGTGTCAATGATTAGATGCTTTATACACTTAATTTATAGATTATTGCTTAAGGTATACTGTATTTTTAATGAAAAATTTTAAATGCTCTAATTATACTATACACATTAACAATTCAGTAAAATGGAAGTTTGGGACATCCAAGAAGTATATTTACAGTTGAATTTATACACATACTTATTTATAAAAAATACAAACACATTAGTTCTGCATTATTCAGCGTATATTCTAAAAATCTTTGTCACATTCCAAAGGTGTTGTCCTACATGATGGTAAGCTTGAATTACTTTTCGCGGTAAGAGAAGTTAAAATGTTTGGACAGAAAACAAGTGGGAACATTGTAAGGTGGTCTACAATTATAAGGTGGTCTACAGTTGTAAGGTGGTCTACAGTTGTAAGGTGGTCTACAGTTGTAAGGTGGTCTACAATTGTAAGGTGGTCTACAATTGTAAGGTGGTCTATAATTGTAAGGTGGTCTACAGTTGTAAGGTGGTCTACAATTGTAAGTTGGTCTACAGTTGTAAGGTAGTCTACAGTTGTAAGGTGGTCTACAGTTGTAAGGTGGTCTACAGTTGTAAGGTGGTCTGCAATTGTAAGGTGGTCTACAATTGTAAGGCGGTCTACAGTTGTAAGGTAGTCTACAATTGTAAGGTGGCCTACAATTGTAAGGTGGTCTACAATTGTAAGGTGGTCTACAATTGTAAGGTGGTCTACAGTTGTAAGGTGGTCTACAGTTGTAAGGTGGTCTACAGTTGTAAGGTGGACTACAATTGTAAGGTGGTCTACAGTTGTAAGGTCTACAGTTCATTATTCGTATCCATAATCTGAACGATGACGAATAGAAGACTATACATTATTGTTAAACATGAAGACGCAATGATTTAGTGCATCAATAAACTTCCTGATTGGTGTAAAAGTGCAGTTCAGAACTCTCAGCAACAAACGAAACGTCTAGATAGCACAGAACACAAACTTAAACTTACCGAATAGTCGCTACCGCAGCTTGCAGAGTCAGAATCCCTGTGAAGCTTCCTTTTCCCTGGCTTTTGAATGCCTGGTGTCCCGTGAAGCAGTTCCTCCAGGCTCTCGATATACTCGATCGCATTCCGAAGGATTTCTACTTTAGGAAGGCGCTGATTTGGATTGGCGCAAGTTCTTCGTTTCAAAGTTTCGAAAGCTTCGTTTACCTTTTGTAGTCGTCGCCTTTCTCTCATCGTTGCAGCTTTTCGTCGATCTATCGTTACAGTCTTTCTTTTACAGGCCTTGCAGGCCCAAAGAAGACACCTTCTGGGGGCGTGTCCGTGGAACGGAGGAGCGAGTACATGAGGCACGTGCTCTTCCATGTCCTCATCTATAGGATGACCATTGGAGTGAGACCCTTCCTTGCGACCAGTGACCCCTTCCGGACTAGGAATGTTGGACGGGGCAGAGCTGGATTCCTGATGTGGAGCGGGCCTTGAAGGAAGAGATGTACTAATAGGTTCTGCCGAAGGAAATGACCTCCTGACACCGTCTGAATCTGACTTCCCTTCAGTGGAGCGTGAAAAGACGTTGTAATTCCTTGGCATATGAAAGTTGGCTTCGCTCTGCCTTATTCCCAATTCCTGTTGACTCTTGTAGTGTACAGAAACCCCAACCGGAGGCGGATTGTCACGAAAACTGCTACAAGTCTGGACTAGAGAAGGTCGGGGCATCGATGTAATGTCGAACTCTGCCTTTCCACGATTACAGCCTTCACCGTGCCAAGCTCTTGCTACATGACTATAGGAGCCGTGATTCTCGGGTGATCCTCGACAGTAGTTCCCGTTGTCTATAGAGGACATACAGTTTGTTGCCTGTTGATTCGAGTACATCCCTATGTGAGAAGACAGCGAATATTCCGCCGGTGACATGGAAGACTCATAACGGCAGCTCCTCATGACGACGTCCCGCATAAGCTCCACTTTAAAGTCCGGTGTAAAGGGGGTCTCAAGTGGCACGAGACACTTTCCTGAGAACAAAGAAACAACAACCTAAAGACTTCTGTTAATTGAGGCAGTAGAAATAATCTCAGTCAGTTGTTGTCCTGAATAATTGATTAAAAAGTGATAGCTAATCTGATGAGTATTCTCATCTTTCGTTTTCTATAATTCTTATTACTTCACAGTTCGATGTATCTGAGAACAGGGTCTTTACGTGACAACTATGCTAAATTTAGTGTAAACAAGGCACGATTATTGGATTAGTAAATCTAACTTAAAGATGTTATTCCTATTCAATTTTCCCTTTAATATTTATTAATTTTAAGTCCCCTTTACATTATCTTATGATGCCAATTTAAAAATATCTTTTAACTTTACGTACCAATGGTAAACATTTCCAATTATGCTATTGGTATATTAGGTACATGACGGGTCTAAGACAGGCTTTATTGTTGAAATATTAACTACTTATATTTAAAATATACTTGGTATTTGTTTACAATTATTATATTAAAATACCTGTTAGTTGGATCACTTTTATCTTACATTTAATGTTCAAACTTGATGTCTAAATAATGAAGACTTATAATAAACTCGTAAATTATCACCTTTAACCTTCATAATTACATTATCGAAATAATAAGCACTTGAGATAAACTTTCACACTGACCATGTACTCATCTTGTGTCCACGGTAAAATTTTCACACTGACTAGGTACCCATCTTATGTCCACGTTAAAACTTTCACACTGACTATGCACTAACTTTAAGTCCATGGTAAACCTTTCACACTGACTACGTACTCACCTTGTATCCACAGTAAATCTTTTACAATAACTATTTACGCACTTTGAGCCCATGATGATCCTTTTACACTGAATATGTACTTACTTTGTGTCCAAGATAAACTTTTCACACTTACTGTGTACTCACTTTGTGTCAGAGATAAACCTTTCACACTTACTGTGTACTCACTTCAAGTTCATGGTAAACCTTTCACACTTACTATGCACTAACTTTAAGTCCACGGTGAACCTTTCACCTGACTACGTACTAATTTTAAGTGTTCATGACAAGTTTACCAGTGACTGTCTGCGCATTTTGTATTTATGGTACGTTCTTTCAATGAATAGTTAAAACACGTGGTCTTATTTTCAGGCCTATACTGAAGTAATTGAAGTACTGGAAATTTTCTTAGTGTCTTCCACTATTCTTTGGCACATAACACTTTTTTTATATAAGGATCAGTGATTCCAAAAAGGACACATGACACTGTAAATTATCATCGTAAGGTATTTCTCAGTATGGCTCACATAAACAATATTTACAGTATTTACCTCAGCCTTTTGCCTACTATTAAACATATGTGTGCTGTACTTTCTCATAAACATTATAATTATCATACTTCAACGTAGATTCCCTATAGATTTCCATGGTTTATCTTTTAACGATCAAATATTATAATGTTCACTCAATAGTCACTTCCAAATAATTATCGTTACTTTAAGCTCTCTGTCTCCCAGTGAGGAAAACTCAAAACAAGCTTGGGCCCACATAAGGTGACACTTACTACGCTTTCTTATGAAAATCATATATTTATAGCTAGAAACTGGTGTGAAATTTCAACTTACCTTCCAGAACAAGAAATGTTAGGCTACCTTAGATGAATGCACTGTTGCTATTCCAATGTTGTCAAAGGACATATTGTACCTTAATGTTTACTGGCCAGTCAGTTTCGTTTCGATTATGTTACCGTAGCTTATATAAAAGCTTAGAAATACTACTTTATTTAAATACTTCCATGTGTCACCTAACACAAAATAGCGTGTGTGTGTAGTAAACAGTCACATTTATCAGGCTGTACAACAAAAAAAAGGTGTTCAATCGTTCAACGAAAGTCACCTTGTCTTTAAGTTCGACTATTCAGTGCCACTTTCTCTCTCTCTTCCAAAGTGACATTACAGAACTACCGATATGAACAGTAGCATCCAGTCAACATTTCGTGAACAAATAGAAAGTGTTCTGTTCACACTTACCTTAATCTGGGAGTGTTGCAGGAGAAGGAGGGCCTCTCGACGATGTGTCGTTGTCTCCACCTCCTTTAAGTGTCGGCGATTCTAATGTTTTGGAGGTTGTAGAACTAATAAAAAACAACCTTAAAAAGTGTAGGGACGAATGTCACATGTAAGTGGCACATCCCGAGCGAGGGGAGCAGCGGTATTCCCCAGTGGGGTCTTCTCGACAAGGACAGTAAGTTGAGATGCGATGTTCGTGTTTGGGCAGCGAGGTCTGCTGGTTTCCAAATTCCACCGTCACCGAATCAAAACGGTCAGGGGCACTACCGTTCAAGTCTTTATAACTGGAGTTGGAAAAAATTCAACATCGCTTACTTAGAAAAAAGTTCACTCAAGTTTACTCTGCTTACTAAATAACGTTTGGCCTTAAAAGCCTCGGTTTTCAAAGAATTTCAGTATATACTAACTAGCCTGTTCCAGTTGCTACTTTCAATTTGCTTATTTCATCTATATAATCTACTTCTGAATCCCGTCTCTCGATTTTCTCGACTATGTTGTTTTTCTCTTTCATTTCATCCGTTTTTGAAAAAAAAAAAAAGAAAGAAAGAAACGCTCTAGAGCAGCGCATGCGCAAAAAGGGAGACGCTGTGAGACCAATGACATCAGCAGCGTGGAAAATAAAAGAAGCGAGTTAGAGCTCGGCCCACAAAACCCTATTGCCCCGCCTTCTCCACAAGATTTGTAAAAGTCTCTTGAAGATGAGTGTTTAACGCGATTTGTAGTTCTAGCACAACAAGCTGCGTGTGATCTCAGGTTATTGATACAAAATTCTCCACTGGCCACTCCTACACAGTCAGTAAGAAGCCCACGCATACTCTATCCGAGTGTGGATGGGGTTCTGGGAACATTAATGTTTCCAATGAGACCATGGGATTAAAATAATAATAAATTTTTTATCAGAATTATAAAATTTCATATCATTTAGAGAACTGCTTACCACATGACTAGTCACATAGATGTGTCTGAATAGCATTGTAAGCACAAACATGGAAATATGTAGAAACATTTTACCGTACTAATTATCAACACTAGTGTTAAGCAGAGTTTCAGCTTGTTTATTCTACTTGTATCTGAAAATATGAATATTTATCTTTATGAGAATAATAATAGTAAAGGATTGAAAAGTAGAACAGAGGGGGCCCACGACAACAATCTTACCTTTCCAAAGACGACACATCTGACGTAGCATCAAATGGAATACATGAATAGGTAAGAACGGGCTATAATCTAACAAAAATAACCAGGAATCCTGAAAATATTGAAAGCTCTAATATTGTACTTTAGCAGAATCTAATTCTTAAAAAAAAAAGACTTAAAGTGTTTCAGTAAAAATACAGTAAACATTTCATGTGATGAACGACATCAGTTGTGATGTTCCTGCTAAAGTAAGAACAACTGTGATTCTTCGAAGGATTTAGAATACAGTAAACATTTCATGTGATGAACGACATCAGTTGTGATGTTCCTGCTAAAGTAAGAACAACAGTAAACTGTGATTCTTCGAAGGATTTAGAATCTGTGATTTAGTCACTTTGAACATGAATTTCTAAAGAGAGAGAGAAAAAAGAAACATTCTGGTAATTAAAAGAACAAACGATAATGTTGTATTCGAACTAATACTATAAAAAGAAAGATATCAATTATTGTTAACATTTTTAGAGCTGCGACAGCGTTATGACGAAACTAAATATTTAAAATATTTCCTAAATGATCTTAGAATTAAATAAACACGTTACATTAGGATAAAACAGTCTTGAATATGGTTTATTATAGTTCATAAATTCATTTTATTTCTTAGTTATTAGGGAGATTGTTCAGATTTAGAATGTCACAATAATAAACTTTGTAGTAACATGTTATCCTTCTTTTTTTACAATTAGATAACATTGGGCAATTACTTCCTGCGTTTCCTCAGTTAATATTGGAAAGTTGATCAGTTTTAACTTTAACCAATGCATGTGACTACATTATGTGTATTATGTATAGCTCACCTCGATTTTTATATAAATGTTCAAACTAAATCATCTTAGCTCTGACCAAGATATGACAACATTACACGTAAAGTAACTCTTGTTTGTATACTGTTCAGAAATTGACCAAACTTTGACTTTGTGCCCAGATCCATAACATCTTTCGTTTAATTTACCCATGTTGGGATATATATATATATATATCCAGAAGTTAATCCACACTCATCTTGTTAAAAACAATGTCATTGTCTCAGTAATCTGAAATGAACAACGAACACAACATGGGATTTTTTACTGCAACTAGAGCTTGTGAAGACTACAAGAAAATGTTTGATACGAAAGCAAATATAAGTAATTATGGACTGATAACAACTCCTAATGAGCAATATAGAATCTCTCAGAAACTCTGACAAACTCACGGAACTAAAACTACCTTATTATGAAACGATTCGTATTGGATAACTAATCCTATATATGACCAGAACTTTCGAATTATATATTTAGTTCTTATTGGTCCAGCTTGGCCGATGGCAGAAAGTATTATATAAATAGATTAATATATTTGTTAAGGATATGAGACTGTTTGGTCTAGGTTTTGCTTATACAAAGTTGAACTGAAATAGCTATTTATATATTTCAGAAAAATGTAATAGTGCTAGAACTAAATGTTTTAAATGCTATGACCAACAGTACTGTGGAACCAAATAAGAACGATGTGCGCGTTAGGTGTTTTAATATCGGAATATACATGTATAAGGTTTTAAGAGCACCTACTATGGTGATCTCTCAATACGTGTTTTGCGTAAAAATGAATTATCTTGTTGATATTAGCTCCTGTTTGAGAAAAGACACGCAACGTTTATCGCAAATCACGCGTATTTAAAGTATTATTTAGTGTTTTCGAAATTAGGTAATCATATAATTTAACTGAGTTAATGAAAAACGTTTGTTAAAAACATTTATTTTGAAAGTTAGTAAATAACTAAGACTGAAAATACTGCTAAATTTAAAGCACATGTGAAGTTTAAAACTCTAATTAATAACGTTCGTTCTCTTGGACTTACATTATTGAGTCTTGTATTCAACATTACCACAGCATTTCACATTCTAATAACAGTACTAGTTCACATTCTAATAACAGTACTAGTTCAAATTGTAATAACAGTACTAGTTCAAATTGTAATAACAGTACTAGTTCATTGTAATAACAGTACTAGTTCAAATTGTAATAACAGTACTAGTTCACATTCTAATAACAGTACTAGTTCAAATTCTAATAACAGTACTAGTTCAAATTCTAATAACAGTACTAGTTCAAATTCTAATAAGAATACTAGTTTGTTTGAATTGTATTGAACTTTTCAAATTTCTTTTTCATGGCTTTGTTTTTTTACGTCTTTAAGTGTAAAGTTACACAATGGACTACCTGCGCTTTCTCCACTGCAGGTATCGGACCAATACTTTGAACGTTATGAGCCCTCAAGCATATAGCTAAAATACCAGGAGACTTATTCGTAGCAGGAAAAATTAACATACTTTTTGTTAACTATAGGCCTAATAACAGTGATAAAAATCAGACTAGACTACAGATATAATTCTAAGTACATTCCTAATAATTAGTACCTTATGGTGCAGATAAGTTTTATATATTATTCCTCGTAACAGTTCTATTATGATGAAGACAATTTTATGTACATTTCTCGTAAGTAGTCCATTGTGGATTTCAAATTTGAGGAATGTAAAAAACTAGCATCTGAAATCTAATATGATTGTTATCTCCATCATTAGGCCTATTAATTTCATTGCTTCGCTGACTATTGCCATTTAAAACCGTAACACGAAGTATCGTTATTATTCTGTAAGTTGGGCAATTTTGTTTAGATGTTTGTTGTGCACTTTGCAGCGCGAACATTGCTAAGGAAAATGTATCAGCCAACATTGTTTTCACTTCTAATTGTAAAACTTTACATATAGTGGGCAGTGTGTTCTAACTTTTTAACGTTACTGAACAAACATCAGAATGCAACGTACGATGATATCTTTATTTAGCAAAGTGAATCAAAACAATTACTGAAATACATCTCTTTAAAAAACAAAAAAAACGGAAACTAATATATATATAATATTTTCGAACGTTAATAGATTAAATGACTGACAAAAGTCAATTGTATTTCACTATGAAAAGAAATGTAAAGGAAAGTACTTGTCGTCTATTTTCAAATCTCTGAACTTGATATAAATAAATATTGATGTCAAATGATTTTTAAGATTTATGAGGAACCAAAATTATTCGTTAATACTGAAATCGCTATTTCGAGGGAATGACTTTATGGTATTTCCCATAAACGTTATTTATTCTGTAGAGACCTCTGTGTTAGGAAATGTACATCGCGCAGAACAGTTGCTGTGCGTATAACGAAAATACAAATTATATGTAATTATACGATATCCTCATAGTATTCACTGAAACTATGCCTATCGTTCACGTTAAGAAAAGCCACCTATAACAAGTTTGGAACAATAAGTAATCTTCAGGGTACAGTAATATTATAGATGTTGTTCTCATTGTGCAACGGACTACCTGTGTGTGTGAACCTTGGGTATCGAAACCCGATTTTTATCGTCATAAATCCTCAGACTTTCCGTTGAGCCATTGGGGGTGGGGGTGTTAGGAACATAAAATATACAGACTTGTAAACATATGTCAGACGGTGTCATTGTCTTATTGTTCAACGTGTTTGACTTATCGTTATTTCTGAAATATAAAGAAGGACTCGTTATGGATATTTTTTCTGATTTAAAATACCAAATTGTCAATGGAGTTAAATAAATCAATTAAATTTTGCATGTTATTATTTTCTGATCTATCTATCTGTCTGTCTCTCTGTTTATCTATCTTTCTATCTCGTATTAATTGTGAAATAAATCTTAAGGTTGTCCATGTTTATTCTGGTTATGATTTAGTTGTGTTTTTTTTTTTTTCGAATGAGTTGCACATTTTTATCACAGTTGTTTTTCATTGTAAACGAAATAAATCATCATTTTTTACCATTCACTTTATATATATTGTAGAGTTCTATTTGATACAAGTTTCACAAAAACGTTGATAACGTCTTCATTGAGAAATATTTGATACACGTTTCACAAAAACATTGATAAAGTCTTCATTGAGAAATATTTGATCCTGTGTAGTTCAGGTAGTTCAATTATCTTCGGGATATACAAAAGAGAACTCTAATTCAACCGTTCTTGGTATTAGCACTGTTGGGTCCCCTAAAAAAACCAAACCTAATAATTGGGTTATTTAATTATTTAATATTTAATGGTGGTATATGGTAAACTGAACTCCTAGTTTACCGTACAAATTATAATTTTGAAAATCTAACAGTGAGCTAACAAGAGCTAATAGTCGTAACTGAAATGTATCTAAAACATTTATTACATTAATATTAACCCACGAAGTCATAATGTGGGAAACCCT